AAGCCGCACCGGATTTTAAGTCGGATGGAAATATTTTCAGTGTTGCTACATTAGGTAAATATGTCGGAGCGACACACCCTAAATGTTAACAGAGGCGTTAAATAAAAAAGATACAAATACTTTGTTCTTCTTCTGTTCAAAAATAGAAAGTACAAATACTTTACTAAAGTAGAAATGTTGGTTATCTATACTTTACTGGAGTATTTATTTGTTAGACAACTTTTTACTTTCTACTCCTCACATTTTAAAAAATAGACTCGTTAGTTTTGTTTCATTTAAGCTCATTTTCATTCTGGCCTGTTGGTATTTAAATCAAATAAAAACCATTAAAATAATTAGTTTCATCCAGACAATTAATTTCTCTGTGGTTTGAATCGGTGCTGCCCCAACTTGTTGCTCACCACATACCAAAATAAATAGTTTTTCAAGATGATGCAGAGTTAAATGTGACTCTGTTACCATTAGTTATAAAACTAAAAAATAAGTCTAAGGAAGTTTTCATTCAGAAATGTAGAAAAATGTTCCTTTAATAGGGTAGAGCAGTAAAGCTTGCTTCTGCTTTACTTTTATACTTTAAGTAGTTTTAAAAATGGTACTTTTACAGTTTTACTGGAGTAAAAAGCTGAAGTTGATCCTCTAACTTCTACAGAAGTGGTTTTAAACGGCGTAATAAACACACAGTTAGGTGAACCTGTCTGTATTTAAAATCATAAATTTCACAGATTCATCTTCTTTATTCAATAACCTAAAGGGTTCTTGTTTTTTTAGCCATTATTAAATGCACCTGGCACATATATAGTTAAAATATAACTATGTACTTTTTCTTTTTATTGAGAATGTTAAAAAATGTTTAGTTCTTCATGTTCTAGAAAGATCCTCTTGATATAAGAGAGAAAACTCAAGTTTTTAGGAAAATGGTCTCTTATTAATCCATCATTGCTGGACGGATTAGATCAGTCAGCTTTTCATNTTATTAATCCATCATTGCTGGACGGATTAGATCAGTCAGCTTTTCATTAATTCATTAAATAATAACTTTCTTTAATTATCATTTTATTTATCTAAAGAAGGTAAATACACTGAGATGCTAAAAAGTTCTTTAACAGTTTGACTTTTTATTGATATTTCGGTGAGTTTCTCCTGCTTTCCTTCAGCACCTCTGATCATCTTATCCCTCCTGCTTCTTCTTCGCTCCTCCTAAACCTTTTCTCTGCCTCCTGAGACGCTGCAGATGATCCGATGTTTCAGATAAAATCTATTAAATTATGTTTTCAACACGAGATAAACTCAGCAGATCCTTTTATTCAGTCTCTCTCCGTCTCCTTCTCTCCCTCAGACCTCCATCAGTACCTTGCAGGAAGTGCTGGTTTCCCCCTGGAGATGCTCTCTGTCCAACATCAGGTTGATGGCGCCCCCTGCAGGCAGCAGCCGTACCTCCAGTCGCTTGTTGCTGGAAGGAACGGATGAGGAGTCCAGCGATGCGACCTCTGGTATGAGCTCTTTGGGGGCCTGTTACGCGCAGCGGGCCGGCGCCAACCCTCTCTCCTCCTCATCCTCATCTTCATCCTCATCTTTAACTTCTAAAGCGAAATCTCGGTCGGGCTCCTGCTCCAATCAGACGCCGGAAACCTCGGCGCCGCAGCCTGTGGATCAGACTGTTTCAGGAGCTCCGGCTGTAGCTGAACAGAACCCTGTGAGCTCCGACTGTTTGATAGGAGGAGCAGAGGAGGAGCAGGAGGAGGAGGAGCAGCAGGAGGAGGAGGTGGTGATGAATGTTGGACAGGATGTCAACCTCCTCAGTTTAACATTCGGTCAGCCGGAGGAGGAGGAGGAGGAGGAGGAGGAGGAGCAGCACCATTTAGAGGAGCTCAGCGCTCTGGAGCAGCCGGTTCTGCCGCCGCCTCCTCCTGCCTCCGCGGCGTCCTCCTGGACGGACGAAGAACAATCAAACTTTGACGGCGACTACATGTGCAGAGCCTGATGGGTTCTGGCGATGTTTAAACCGGGCCCAAATCCGCTCAGTCAGACCCGGTTCTGGAACATCATTCCCACAGACAGTTCAACATCCCGTCACCCGGCAACGCTCCACATCACGCCAACAAGATGGCATCGGTTCCAGAACCAGAACCAGAACCAGTGTTTTACATCATTTCATCTGATGGTGCTGAAACAAACGGATCTCCTCCATGAAGTTCCTGCCTAGATCACTGGGTCTGAACCACTGATCTTTATTTATCCACTGGATCACTG